GCTGTGGTCCATGAAGGTGCTTCGGTTGCACCTTATCCTCTGTATGACGCGCGTAGCACAGGGTATATTATCTATACCACTCGGATCGCCCAACTGATGCCGGGCGCTCCTCCATCTTGAGTGCAGGCTCGGCCCGGCTTCGCCGGGCCAGCCTGGCTTCGCCATGCGCTCATTTTGTGGGCGAGTTAGAAAGTAAAAATGTGTCAAATAAGAGTAGGGCGATTTTCAACGAGGACGGAAAGCTTGTAAGCAGCTTTATATCACTCACCACGTACACCACAGAGGGCCCACCACCCCAGTCACATCGTTGGTACAACACAACCTGCCAATCATTTTCAGGACCTACTCCTATAGCGAGCAGGAACAATGCTAACACAGGAAACGATCTTAGATTTAACTCTCACAGTATAGAACAACCCCTCAGTTCTAATCAGAACATAGAAAATGATAGCTTCGCCATCTCTAATAGTAAACAATATGAACAGCTCGTACTAATGACAGCTGAAGGAAACGTCTGGAAACAGAGAACGAAACTTTTGAGAAAGTATTATTCTTCTTCGATACTGGCGCGCGAAAGACCGTAATCAAAGAAGCATTCGCTGAACGATTAAGCCTGCCAAAACTTACAACAGAAACCTCGTAATCAGGACTAGGGGGACATACGGAAAAATTCAAAAGTCACCTAGTCACCCTCAAAATATGCAGCACTCTTGGTCGCGAAATTGAAAGGCCAACTAAGAAAAAGCCTATAATAACCGGCGAGTTCCCACCAGTACAGGAGTAGACGCAGAATTTCTACAAGCTCGAGAACTTTTTATCGCGAATTCTCAAATCCGAGGTAAGCGTCAAGTCCCACAAATCTTGGTGGTCTTGACCACTACTACGATCGAATACTTTCGAACACCATCAACTATTAAACCCCATCAGGCTTACATATCGCAAAAATTCGGTCCGATTTATACGGTCGTGGAACCATTAACTCGACCGATACTGTAAACGTTTCATACCCTATGACATCAATATTCGAAACCAATGGTTATGGAGAACATAACCGCGAAATGTTTGAAGGAAAAAGTTCAGATATTGGAACAGACGGAAAGAATTATAAAAGAAATAATTATTTCATGGTTCAGGAATGCCACTAAACAGATAAACTGTGTTAGTGAGTGCACTACGGAGTCTTGCCCTACTAAATTCCTTTCCAGACCCCATCAAGTCCACCTAAGGAGCAATGACGGTCGTTTAGATGACTTTAAGAGCAACTCTATGGCCACAGATAGAGGACCAGCAGGCGGATCATGTCCTTAGGAGGTGCGCTGGGTCAAAAACTATGCTCCATGAGATCTCCTCCGCAAGAGCCAGAGTAAGGGCGCACAACTCTGCCCCGAGCCTCAAGTATTGAAGTAAATAACGTAACTAAGCGCCTTGAAAGTTATCGAAAATTAGAAGCAACATTAATGGAACATCCACCGAAAGAATCCCTAGGTAAAGGAATGCCCCCTTTAGTACGACAAAAAAACTTGCTGCAATTGATCACATACTATCAAGCTTAAGCTGAAAACGTCCCAGGGAACTAAGCATTATGAATGCTGACGCCACTGCCCCTCTTATTTCAACCATTCTTATCAAATATTTTCTCGAATCTAATCCTTAAAACATTGGATGCTATAGTTTTCATTGTTAATCTTCTGAACAAATCCCTACAATTTCACAATTCATCCACGTCAACCTAATGACGCCATTAGTACGACTTCCTTCACCTTAGAACGGATCTCATCAAGTCCAAATTCAACAAAGAAGATCCCAGAGAAGGCCTCTATAAACTGTTATTCAACTTCTCGAATCACTGTTTTACCACACGTATCTACATTAACGCTTACCCTTTCATGTAATCGACAACATGCCGAAACTAGCTCCATCGGTTCAACTGTTGGCTCTACTATGCTTGGGTCACCTATTAGGTCATCCATTCCTTACTTCATTATTGTATTTCTATAACTTTCTCCTATTTTTGCTCCGTGGAGTGTTCTGGGCTACCACCAGAACCTGCCGGTGCCCTTTTATAACTCACTGATTAATATGCCTAACCCATAGGCAATATTGAGACATGTGATTATGACCCGTAGGTAAATGGTTAGATACTCAATGCGTGACCTCTCCTGCTTGAGAGGCACGCCTAGATTAAGTTAGCATTCTACCACGTCCACCACCGAGACCACCCCGTCTCGGACTACTAGAGAACACCCCGTCTCGCCTCAACAAACCATACAAACCTTCACAGAATTCCCACACTCGCCAAATCCGGAAGGTCCGCTAATCGCCGGTCCAGTGCAGCGCATCATAGTGGAAGAGGTTACCGGCGATCGACAGCATGAAGAACCGAAAAGCGTCAGGGTCATACAACATATTGGCAGAGGTGTGGAAAATGAAGGAATTACGACAGAGTTGTATTCCGTGACTTACGCAGTTTCTCAATGCAGCTGTTGACTTCAGGCCGTGCACCTAGTGAATGGGCTACGAGCATTACTGTGCCAATCTTCAAAAACAAGGAGATCCGGCCGAGTGCTCTAATTACCGCCCTAGTCGCTTGCTCTCGCACACCATGAGATCTCCGAGCGAATCCTTCATCAGCAGTTACACATGATCGGTCTGAGCAAAAACCAGTGCGGCTTTGTGAAAGGACGAGGAACAACGGATGCAATATTTGCCGCTCGCTCACTCATGGAGAAGCATCGGGAAAAGCGGAAACCACTTCATATAGGCTTTCTTGGATCCTCGAGAAAGCTTACGATCGCGTGCCCCACCAACTAATCTGGTATGCGCTACGTGAGCATGGAGTGCCCGAAGCACTTATCAGCTGGATTCGAATGCTGTATATGAACACCACCAGTCGAGTCCGATGTGCTGCGGGTTTATCCAAGAGCTTTCCAATAAAAGTTGGAGTTCACCAAGGTTCGGCCCTCTCGCCATTGCTGTTTATCCTCATCATGGACACACTCACACGAGATCTGCAACACGCTGCTCCATGGACTTCGCTCTATGCTGACGATGTTCTTCGAGCGGACACCAGCAGAGTGGAATGGCAGTTACATAATGAGGATACCCGTTTATAACAGCTTGCGTTAAGAAAAAAAGATTTATGGTTCAAGAACATGTTGTATTCGCCCACGAAATGATATAAGCAAAACAAGCTCTCACAATGAGCACGGCGAATAAAGAACTGCTCTCCAAACGGCACAGTTGCAGTTCTCCACCAGAGCAGAAGGAAAGCAATACCAAAGGGGTGTTTCGAATTCACCTGTGCTTCGAAGTATCCAGCCGAATATCAAGGAAAGGATAAGAGGTTCTTGAATCAGGGTGAGCAAAATGGAAAATAGACTAGAAATACGAGACGGAGAATGCAGCCTATCGGAGTACTGAAAAAGTTATGTTACATTCATATTATGTTGTTACCAGATTGGCTAACGCGCAATACTGCGCGCATGGTTAAACCTATGGTACTGATCACTGAGGGGGTTTCTCTGCTGAGCACAACACTTGGCCCAATCCCCTTGTTTCGGAATACGGCCCATTTCATCGTGTTTCTCCCTTTTAATGAACATTTGCCAATGACTGGGCTTATCACGTTTTTGACAACACTCGCCATTCGTTGGAAATAGGAAAGCTTAGCGGTTGAAAGAGTTTCGGGGGTAATAACAGACGCAGAGTGAAATGTCCTCACATCCTAGTACATACCTTAAGCAGCTTTTGGGACTTTTACTTTTTGTCGAAACTCGAGAGTTTAGCGGTCGAATCAATTCCGACTATATCGCTAAGGGATAGAAACATCTTGGCTCACTAAGCCTTTGCCCACAGTTTCTTTGGCCATGGTGATGTGACCATATACGGACTCCTAAAAGCCCTTGTCGGACACGACCTGAACTTATCTCCCACTACTAATGTTACCTATGCACCCCTGAATTACTTGCTGGAGGCAATTCTCCAGTGTGGCTACAACTATGCTGTGAATTTTTGGGGCTTAGCACTTCCTGATACCCACCACTAATCTTCAGCACTTCCTGATACCCACCACTAATGTTCCCATCCTGCCCCTATCTTACTGCTTGGAACCAACGTCCCGACGTTGCTGTGGCCGGCGCTATGAATTTAGTGGCCCTTCCCTTCTAAGGCTCCTTATGTTATCTTATCAGCTCTTATCACTTCCTGCCACCTACCAATAGTGTTCCTGCCCGACCTCCTACATCACTTATCAGTTTGAGCGCACAGTCGCTGTTTTGAAGGAAGTTATGAATTTCCGGTCAAACACACATACAGACACACAAACATACATTCACACACACACACACACACACACACACACACCAACAGACAAACTTAGCGGATTATATATAGTAGGATGTTATTAAATTGCTATGATATTACATGTTATGTTATGTACACATGTGCTCTTATACCATTAGATTTTCATCTCTTAATGCAAGCTGTTATAAACGGAAATCCTCACCATAATTCTCAAAAGGAACCAAAAATGGCTTCTTCGCGTCGCATTATCGCCCCGAACTTGTGCGAACACAGCAGAGAATGAATGGTCCGTAATTACCTTCAGAGAATCGTTCCGCAAATTCCGAGGGCAGATTTGAATTCAGCGGCTCAAGACACGTCCATCTATACTCATCTGCAAGCGGCCGTATCGACCTGTTGGAGTTCCCTTGTTAGGAATGTCCTATTTGGTTCAACCTTCCTAACTTCTATGATTCGAGTTTGAGCAACGAAAAAAGAAACAGAAAGAAACTCATTGAGAAATTTAAACACTTATTTATCTTTGCAACATCAAGGAGGAAGAAACCTTTCAACCATATGTGTAAGCTCGAAAAGTGAAAGAAGCAATTAGAAACTTACTTAAATGAAGCTCTCGCGCTTTCTGCCCACCGTTACCTTGAATATCAAAAAAGAGAATAGGAGAGAATTGCTACTAATTTGGGCTCACATTTCCTTGAGTCAAAACAGTCTTCAGTTACAATTGCAACAAAAAAAAGCACTACACTGCGTCCCATAATGATAGTTGCACCCATAAATCTCACAATATCCCGCCCTACACGACGTTTTCAAAAAAGCCTCTAGATAGAAAATGTGGTAATTACCAGTGCCAATTTGCATGCCAACGAGAACTAATTTTCCAGAGCAACTTTATTTTTCTTCATTTTTTGAAAACTTGTCACTTTGGCAACGTCCCAAAATGATAGTTACAACAAATCTATTCATAAAACAACAAATTTGCAACAACATGAATAACAAAATGAATAAATTGTTGACTCAGTAACCTATTGCAGCCTGATTCCTTCAAATAAGTTGGAAAATGTCCATGCTCGAATAGAGGTTGTCAATAAGTCTTCTGTCGACATGGTGCCATGCATCAATGATTGCCTCCTTGAGCTCACGGACATTTTGGAATCGCGCATTGTGCGCATAGATCTGCGCACCATGAAGCCCCACACATTCTCGATTGGGTTTAGGTCGGGGCTATTCGCTGGCCAGGGCAAAAGAGCGATTTGATGACGACTGAACCACGCTCGAGTGCTTCGGCTGACATGAATTGGTGCATTGTCTTGCATGAAAACAGGACTTTCTTGCGGATATCTTCGTCCAGAAAGGAAGCAGACCTTGTGGCATGACATTTATATAGTCAGAAGAAGTAATTTTTTTCGATACGAAGCACAGCTTCAGACGTCCCGTTGATGCGATCGCAGCCCAGACCATGACACCACCCCTCTGAAGTTCCGCCTCGAAAAATTGAGCTTATCTTTCCTCAGATCGTGCCAGTAAAATCGATTTCCATCTGGGCCGTCGCAGTTGAATTCCTTCTCATCGGAATTCACGAACTAGAAAAAAAAGAAAAAAGAAGAAGGAGAGAAAAAAACTGGAAATACAAGACAGAGAAGCAGCAGGCCACCGCAGCCGAAAGCTAACCTTACACCAATCGGTTCAGCATCTTCTAG